TTTCATTTTAATGCGCATTGCCATACTACATGCACATTAATGTGCATGGGCGCTACATTTTCACTCTTCTTGATCTTCCTCCCTCATTACTCGATTGCATGGGGATATTTGGGCCTGATGATTTGTCGAGCCGGCCATTTAGGTTTAGGGTGTATCCCTCTTTTCAGAAATCCGCATGGTCTGTGTGACCAGGTCCAGGTCAGGCAGTGACACCTGTGCTTATGTCAATGGTTAAGCACAATGGCGGATAGGGTATAGCAGCAGGTACAACTGGGTACTTGGACACGAGCACTCTGCCAATTCATTGGGGTGCCCCATTGATGTGCCTGGTGGCTGACTCACGCAACCCGACCGCACGGCTGAATCGGGACTGCATACCCTTCAGGGGCTGGGAACGTGGTGCGCAGTGCGTTGGTTCGGGGATTCGCGGGGGTAACTCGCGATTCGCGGCCCACGGGTCGTACCGCGGGGGTAGCTCGCGGCCCACGAGCCCTTCCGCGGGGGTAGCTCGCGGTCCGCGGATCTTTCCGTGGAGGGTTGATCGCGGTGCACGGGGTTGCTGGCAGGGTCAGTTAACGCCGTGGGGTATACCGAACACCTGTAATTCAAAGGTTCATTCACCCCGTTCCCATGTCCACATCCACATGTTAGTACTCTAAGCCATCGCCATGGTGGGAAGGCTTAGCTCTCGGGAAATGACCCGTCTAACGGCCAGAGTGGACGAATTGGGTTCCTACCAGCTTTGGTCGCACACCGAATCATGGGATACAATTCAAAGGAACTGTATTATAGGTGTAGCAAAACTGTAGACGGGATTCAAGCATCCTGGGAATCTTTGCGTCTGCGTTGAAAGAAAGTACCACTCGTGTGTTTCAGAAAATTACCCCTTGTGACTTCTTGTCGAAATCTGAATTGGTGTCGTTTGATTTTTGGATTATTCCTCTTGCATTCAGATTACCGAGTCTTTTCTCCCTGTTTTCAGACTTTCATCGTTCCCGGACGTTCCCGATAACCCGTATTCTGGAGTCGACGGCAGATATTTTTTTCTCGTTTTAATTTGTAGAGATTTTTGTTATTGATTTGTTCAAATTTCAAAACACTGCTTGTAAGGTTAAGTGCCAATAAAGTAAATTTCTAACGATCATCTACCCGTAGGGAACCTCCAATAAAGAGAAGTCTTTCAATCCTATTCATTTCAATCCCAAACCTTGCAAACATACTACCCCTCTCGCGCAAATTACGAGGCGGGAAAACCTCATATACAGCATTGAGCCGCTACCCATCACGACCCAACCTAGATTCCCCTCTCTTGACCTTGTCTGACTTTATCTTCTCTTTTCACAGGTTCGGCCGTGGTCGCGAGCAGGGTATAATCGCAGACCAAGACGCTGTCTCTGGACACTTGACCCGCAGCGGGAAGGCACCCTGCTCCGCGTGCTTTTATTGGACTGTCTTCTAATCGTCGTACCTATATCTTGATTTTCATTATTTTCCTCTGCCCTCAGTTTAGATTTCTGAGCATTGAAGACGCGTTCGCAGTCCCCTCCAGATATGCCAGGTTGGTTCGCCCCATGCTTTCGCGTGCAGTATGGTAACACTTCCCCCACCGTTTGCTTCCAGAGCCAGCTGCGCCGACGCCGCCAGCACCGGAAGCGGCAGCACCGAGCGCCTTCGCACCATCTCAGCGGACTTCCCCCTCCCGCCTCTTTTCAGCATCAGGTGGTTGTCACCTTGTTTCTTCCACGCAACACCCCGCCCTGGGGGAAATTGATGAGTGTGATGATAACATGCGGATCTTTTCAGCCTCGCCGACCGGCGCAGCGCTGCCCCGCGGCAGCCAGGGAGAAGACCAGCAGGCGCCGGCAGGCGCAGCTGCCCCGAGGTCGTCCTCGCCTGGCGACTCCGACGACTGCTCCTCGGGCTCCAGCCTCGTCCTGGGCCCGCTGCCGTTGTTCGTCGACCTGGCGCTCAGCCCGAGGATCTCGCCCGCCTGGGCCAGCCCTCCCACCTCGCCGGTCCTCGGCTCCGGCTCCGCCCACAAGATGCCCGTGCGCCGGCGCCTCCCGTTCAAAGTCCTGCCGCAGGACAAGGATCCCGCCATAGGCGTGCCGGCCGCGTCGGCCGCGCCCCGGGACAGCTCGCAGGACAAGGAGCCTATCACCGCCTCCCCCGAGGACATCTCGGAGGACAAGGAGACAGCAGCCCCGCAGCCTCCCATGGATGAGGATCTACCGGACGACGAACCCGCGGACGACGAGGACTCCGTCGACATCGAGGAACCCGTTGAGGGCGAGGTCCCCGTTGACGACGAGGATCCAGTACCGGCCCCCTCCCAGCAGTATGGTCTCTTTCCCGCACCAGTGCCCACAAAACGGAGCATCTTTCCGTTCCCCGGTATCACCGCTCTCTTCAGAACCACCCTCTGCGATCAGGAGCCCGCAAAGGTCGCCGCGGTGGGCAGTGGAGGTGTCGAGTCGGATGGCCCCTTCGGTGGTCCGCTGATCAGCAACGGTACGGCGGTGAGCCCCTCGTGCTCCCTCGTGGCAGCCGTTGGCAGCGACAGCGAGGAAGAGGCCGACGATGAGAGGACGGCGAGCAACGAGGAGAATGACTTTGTCCGACCCGCCTTACCTCTGAGCAACGAGCTGGAGCTGCCCAGGCAGACCTCCTCGTCGTCGTGAGTATCGATTCAACATCGCATCTGTGTTAAAATGCTATTGTAGTTCGTTTCATTATTTTTGTCCTACTTAAGTTTTGGTTTGCTATCGTTTGGTGATTGCTCGTTTAGGTCCGTTCATTGGCAAGACACTGACGAAGACAACATGTCCGATGACACGATCATATTGGAGTTGCCAAGTCTACCTGAATCGAAGCCAGCGGTGCCTATGTCGGATTCATCTGGGCCCTCTGCTGGACTAGTGCAAGTGCCCGACTCTCCTGTGCCATCTGCTGCACTGGTGCCGGTGCCCGGCTCTCCTGTGCCATCTGCTGCACTGGTGCCGGTGCCCGACTCTCCCG